AGGGGGGCAGGGGGATGGGGGATGTGGGGGGAGGGATGTGGGGAGAGGGGAGGGGGTGTGGGGATGGGGACGTGGAGAGGGGGATGTGGGGAGAGGGATGGGGATGAGAGGGGATGCGGGGATGGAGATATGGGGATGGGGATGTGGGGATGTGGGGCAGGGGGCACTGGGACATAGGGATGGGAAGGTGGGGATGGTAATGGGGACAAGGGAACGGGGACACAAAGAGGCAGGAGAACATGAAGATGGCAGCGGGGGGAGGCAATGGGGATGGGAAGGTGGGGAGGTGGGAATGGGGAGGTGGGAATGGGGCTGGCCATGGGGACGGCCGTGGGGATGGTGATGAGGACATGGGGCTGGGTCCAGCCATGGGGACAGGAGTGGGGACACGGGGCTGGGTCCGGCCATGGGGCAGCAGTGGGGACACGGGGCTGGGGATCCCCGCAGAGACGTACCAGATCGGGCAGCAGACGCGGGCACACGAGGGCAGCGTCTTCGCTCTGTGCCGCCGCCGCGACGGAACGGTGCTGAGCGGCGGGGGGAAGGACAGGAGGCTGCTGAGCTGGAGCCCGGATCTGACCCTCCTGCAGGAGGCCGAAGTAAAGACCCCCATCGCCCCCCCCCCGCCGCCCCCCACCCCCCCTTTCCGCAATAATCCCCGTTGGATTTTAAGGAAGGGGGGGGGATGTAAAACAGATCCCCGAACGCTTCGGGGCGGTGCGGACCATCGCCGAGGGAGCCGGGGACGAACTGCTGGTGGGGACGACGCGCAACGCGCTGCTGCGGGGGACGCTGGGGGGGGGCTCCTGCGCCCCCGTGCGGGGGGGGGGCGGGGGGGGGGGGGTAAAGGGGCGCCGAGGGGGCGATCTGTGGGGTGACGGCGCCGTTGCGTCCGTCCGTAGGGTCACACGGATGAGGTTTGGGGTTTGGCCACTCACCCCACGCGCTGCCTCTTCCTCACCTGCGGCCACGACCGGCAGCTCTGCCTGTGGGACGGGCAGGAGCACGCGCTGGAGTGGAGCCTGGCCCTGGAGGTATGGGGTGAGGGTCCTGGGGGGGGGGGCCCCGGGGGTTCTGAACCCGGAATCCTGACCCCCCCCCCATCCCCCTCCCCCCCCCCCGCACACGCAGGACACCGGGCTGTGCGCTGATTTCCACCCCGGGGGGCAGGTGGTGGTCGTGGGGCTGCTGACAGGGAGGTGAGTGATGGGGAGGGGGATGTGGGGGGGCAGAAGGACAGGCTGTGCCCCCATCTCCCCCCCCAGCACCCATAGGACCCCCAACCCCCCCACCCGGCCACATAGGACCTCCCTATCCCCCACCCATCACCCATAAGACCCCCAGTTCCCTCCTCATAACCCATAGGACTCCCCCC